AAAAAAAAAAAACAATAGTTGTATTTTATTGTTGATAATATCGTCTAAATCATTGGAACTTTTTTTTTTTTGAAGCCTTAATGGTATTTCAAAACTTGAAAAAAAAAGAGTATCTGAAACAGGGAACGTTTAGCGCTCAATTCTTTTGTATCTTTACAACGTAATTATTGTCTATAATTTTCGCAGACTGTTCTTCCGTCTAACAGTTGAGTTTTTGACTCAAAAAAAAAAAAAATTTATAAAGTTTTCTGATCAGCGTAAATATAATGTAAAAAAAATTGTTTCTTTACTGTTTTTTTTATTGTTTTTTTTTTTCGCTGTTTGAACTACAAAGTAATAATCTTTTTTGCAGAGTTTTTTTCTGTTTTCATATGATTTTCTTCTTGTTTGGCTTCTTCCAAATTTTTTTTTTTTATTATTTATATTTTTTCTGCCTAATTTTTACTACGGTTTAATGAAAAGAACTGAGGATGATTAAAGTTTTGTTGTGTAGGTTATACATACGAATTATATAGCGTAGTATCTGGAAGCCATATGGCATCATGTGGAAGTCTAACTTCAGTGATGTTGTTGTAAGATGCTGGATCCCAAAACAGAAACTCATCAAACCATCTCTGAAACAGAGAAAAAAAAAATTTCTGTTTCCAGTTGAAGACTTCTGATTCAGACTAAGCATGATTAATCATCATGAGGAAAAAAAGAAAAACAACTGCAATTTAATTGACATTTTTCTTTCTTCAACACACAGATTCTTCAATTGTTGAAATTTATTTGTTTTTATAAAATGTTACTTATTAGAATATCAGTTGAAAAAACAAAACAAAACAACAACATTTTAAAAGAAAAAACAAAAAAAAAAGAAATAAATATTTAAAGAACAACTAAACTTTTGACAAAAAAAAAAAGAAAAAACATTGGATATGTTTGCAGTAAAGTGAAACAATTGAATGAAAGAACAAACCTCAATAATCCAAGCATTCAGCAATACGTATTGCTGTGGTTCATTCTGCAAATATACAGTAAATATCAATTGCAATAGCTATCAACCAAATGTAATTTATAGAGAAATAAAAAAAAAAAAAAGAACATTAAAAACAATTTTTTAAATGGGTATTTCTTCTTAAATTTTTTTTTTTGCTGCAATTCTGACATTTGTTATTGAAGTGGCGTTTAGTAAGAAGAAAAGATTTTTTTGGTCATTCTGAAACCATCGATCATTTTTATGATTGAAAGTAGTCAGAAAAATCAAACAAGAAAATATATGTAGGACAAAAAGTTACAAGTTCAAGAAGCTGATAGAGATCCATACTGAAGTTAACGGTAATTGGTTTATCAGTATCATAGGTTGGCTTTACTTTATTGTCATAATTCACCAATTTATCCCGAACCAAACGAAACTGATCTGATTCATAACTGTACAGACGACGGCCACCGTCCTCTTCCGTGCATTTAACCATTACCAATAAGAATGCTAATGTTTTGTAAAAAGAATAATTAAAATACACCAAATTACACCAAATACAAAACAGTTATTACTATTGAAGTATACTCATAACGGTAATACAAGTAACAAAATTTTTATTAATAATTTAAATAGAACAGCACTCTCATTATAAATTTATTCTTTTTTTTTAATCTTTTCTCTTATTCATCTTCCAACTGCTGTTTTCAAGCTGTTTATAATTAAGAGAAACGATCTTATTCGGTTAAACAAACGTTAAATCTGTTATAAAACTTTGTTTGTCAAAAAAATAGGTGAAATCTGTTGACGATGAATAGAGCAAAAAGCTACGGTACTTGATGTGCAATACCGGCTAGCTTCTATCTTCGTTCTTATTCTTTTATATTTGTTTTTCAATTTTTTTAATCAGTTGAGAAAACAAAAAAAAAAAGTAAACAGATTAGCAAAACGTCATTCTTATTTCCATGGCTCCTCTTATTGCTTTTGCTCAGACGTTTTGTGCTTAATTAGAAGCAAAAAAAATTTACCTGTAATAATAAAGACTGTAGGTTTTTCGTAGATACCGTTTGACATTCTGATATGCAGTCAGTTGTTGTAGATGTAAGACGATGTAGAAGTTTGAGGAAAAGGTCAAGAGAATAAGGAAGAAGACAGAGGAGATGATGTAGCAAAAGACGGAAGATACAGTGCAGTGAAGCAGGAGATTATCAACTGCTTCTACTGCAGCTAACCAAAAACAGGTTTTGTAACCGACGACCAAGCAAATTTTAGAGAGCTTCAGCCAATTTTGAGGTTGACGATATTGGAAAAAGACACAGGAATACGGAGTTGAATAGAGCAGTGAAGAAGAAATATTGACCAAACGGTGAACCGCAGAAGCTGCAAAAAGAACATTTGATTACAATTGATAGAATTACCACAGTTTTGCTACTCTTATCATTTTTATCTCCTTCTGCTGCTTCTTCTCTTCCTTCTCACTTAACAAACTCTTCTGCACCTTTCTTTTTCAATTACTTTATTCTGTATTGTTATAAAAATTAAAATTTATTTTACATTAATTATTTTAAAACAAAAAATTTTTTCTTCCAATTTTATTCATTTGTTTATTTATTTATTTTTTGTTGTTTTTATTTCTAAAATTATTTATTTTTTATTTTTATAATGTTGCTTAATTTCTGATTTTTTTTTTCTTGCGCTGTTGTTATCCTACAGTTGAAGCAGATTAATTTTTTTTAGCTAAAAGAACAGTTGCGCTGAGTAGACTCAAGTAAAATTGATGACACTGACAGAACTGTTTGGTACTAAACGTTAAATAAGTTTTATAGTAACTTTATCTTATTTATAGTTCTTTTTGACACTAATTTTCAAAAGCACTGCTTTGCTACGCCAAAAAAAAAGTATTTGAACAGGAAAAAACAACCAAGTTAACAGTTAGGTAAGTTTAGCAGTGCTGTTAAGTCTGAATTAAATACCCAAGTGAAAATAGATAAAAATCGGATCAACGATGATTAGCTATCCAATAAAATTTATGAATTTTTTTGAACGAAACAAAGTAAAGTGATTTTTTTTTAACAAGTTGTCATTGGAATTAAAATAACCTTTACAAAGTGATGGATGTTATCGCTTTTTGAATAACTTCTTCTGTGTTAGTGATAAACACAAAGAAAGCACAAGATTTTTTCACATTTTATTATTGAAGACATCCAGAGATTGTGGAATGATTTTTGACAGTTTTTAAAAGATTGAAAAAAGAAACAAAAATGGTACTTAAAAGCCTCCAACGTAAGGCAATACACTGAAGTGTTTGTCATCACTGCTTTTTTTTTTTTAAAATCTGCATGCGTTTTCAACTTAAAATCAACCTTTTTTTGGATTTGCCTCTGAACAATTATAACTCAGTTGCGTTCAGTTATAAAAAACCAAAAAAAGTAAGGGTGTAGTACTTTGAAGGAAACATTGAATGAGAAGACAATTTTTGACGTATTATTCTATTTTTTCAATTTTTTTACACTTTTTTTGACTATTATTATCTTATTTTCTAGAAACCGCTAAGAAGAAGCTTGTAAACTTTTAGCTATAACATATGTAAAAACTAAGTGTCTTTCTGATGTACTTTATAAACACATTAGAAGTCTCTCAAAACGCAACAGCGTTTGGTACTTTAGACAACCTCAGTGAAAAGTTATAATATTCAGAGAGTAACTTTTTTAAAACAGTTTTTTTTTTTTGCTTTCTGGCTGTGACTATACGTGAATTATGTAAAATCTGTTCTGCTGTTGAGGTGTAAAATTGAAAAAGATAAAGAAAAAAGTTTGGTTTAAAAAATCAAAAACTGTGAAGCAGAGAATAAGACGAAGTGTTACAATCAAAAAAATTGTAAAAAGAACAACAGTTGAACATCGCCAAATGATTAAAAAATTGCTTTTTAATTAAGCAATCAATTTTGTCTTCACCAAAAAAAGCTTTATATTTTTGATGAATTATCATCAAAGATAATTGTATAGTAAAAATCGAGCTTGTTCAAAATTGGTTTTACAAACATTTTTACAAACAGGCTGAAATCCAAGCTTAAGCTTAAAGCTTAAACTCTAAGACTAAGCTTAAGTAACTGTTAATTAAGTATTTATTTGAAGAAGCAAAAAGTGTGCTATGACAGATCGCATAAAACTAGTGACCTTTAATAAAATTTTAGTCAAACAAGAAACGATTCATTTTTTACAGCTCTTTCATTTGATATTACACTTAATAATAAATATTAACTGAAAGAAAGCATCTAATGTCAAATAGTTTGCAATGAATATCTTTCAGCTTTTATTCCCCTCAGAAGAAAAACCATAACCGCAAACAAGGAACGTTCACAAATTTAAACTACTCATCTGGCTGCAATCAAAATTTGCGATGAAATATATAGCCAATATATTACTAAATTCTTACAGAGCTGGTTGAGCCTCAGTTTAGGAATTCAATTAACAGTTTGAAGTGGTTTACTAAATAACCATTCAAGGTAAGAAGACTTCGTAAAAATTAATGCAGAGTAAATGAAATTTTAGCAAAGGTATTTTGTTCTACTAATATTAACAATGACAAGCCCGGTATAAAATAAAAAAAAATCTCTTTAATTACACAAATTTTGTAAAAAAGAATTTAGGAAGAAAATTTTTTTCAAGTTTTTAACATAGTAATATTTTTTTTCTCTTGATATTGTTGTTAAATTACGTTTCTCTGTTTCTTCCTCGTTCTTAGATGATTAACTGCACTCAGACAGACACTGCTAATCATTAATTTCCTTCGCTGTTCATTATTTCCTCTTCAAAAATTTTTGCAATATCTCTTTATTTTTTAAAAATCTTTTTTTTTTCTGTCAACTGTTTCTTTTACAGCAATAACGAAGACGGAAAAAAGTGTTATTTTTTTAGAACCTGTATTAATTTATCTCAATTAATTTAGGAGTGACAATCGTAAATTGGAAAAAAAAAAAGTGGTTACGTTGATGCGAAAATTGAAGAGAAAACTTTTAATTTCACTATTCTTTTTCTACATAATTTTTATTTATTAAATATTAAAACGTCACAAAAATATTTTGTATTAATTTTATATTGCTGCTGTTTGATAACAAAAACACAAAGAATTACTTTTTTTACAGAAGTTTTTAGATCGAGAAAAGCTGGAGAAAACGAAGAAGAGAAATGGCGTAGAAAAGAGAATGATGAGAACTTCTAGACTTTTCTCTTGGTTGAAAAGAAAAAGTGACTACCTAAAGCTAAAAAGCAGAATAGCGTGAGAACACAACTTTCTGGTGATGTGATGTTCCTAATAACAAGTTACAGCTGAGAAATTTCAGTACTTACCAAAATGAAAACACAGTTGCTTCAGTTAAATCGAAGAGTGGTGAGAAAAGCAATGCAAAAATAAAAAAAAAAAGAAAAAAATACGACATAAAAAGAATTGAAAAGCGATTTAGGTGAAAGTATTTTATCAGCGGTAAGAAGAAGCAAATTAAGATAATCAACAATTATCGCAGTTAACGTAATACATTGCCCAACTGTTCAGTTTGATAACATTGATTTATCGCAGACAATATCTAGCATTAAATAAAACAAATATCCTTCAACTACACTGTCATTACAAATTCTAAATTATCTCAAATAAACGACAATGTGGCCATCAAATAACTTGTTTCAATGTATAGTAATATATGTATAGTACAACACACTAACGATACTAGTAAAAATATCTAGAAAATTTAATAGCAAGTGCCTGGTTTAAAATGAGAAAAAATTTTTAAACAAAAGTTTAATTGACAACGAACAGGAGACTGTGACCAGCAGTGTTAAAATTTTGCTATTTCCTGACATGAAGATCATTAAAGTTGATCATACTATAGCCTAGAACTGTTCAGATTTTAGGAAGAATACAGATTAACATTGCATTGCCTGATGTCTCCACCTTTTGCTGCCCGCTTGTTTCACCTGATTAAAAATTTGTTTAAAAATTTCAGTACGCAGACTTTAGAAGCAGAACAAAAGAAGATTGAACTTGAAAAAATTTTGCCGACTACGATGTCGTTTGGCAGTAAAACTGTTGCATTTCGTCAGTTCTTTTTTTTGTCTTTCTTTTTTTTTAATTTGTTTATTTGTGAAGCACTTAACAAACATTTTTTTTCCTTGCAAACTTTAATAAACGCGAGTAATTTTTTTTTTCAATTAATTAAATTTTTTTTTACTCTAAAATTATTCTTATTGTTTAAAAAAAAATTTTAATTTAGTCATTAAGAACAGTAATAAGAGCAATAATGCATATAAACACACTTCTGTGTTGAAACTTATAGTGCTGATATGCTCTTCCGCTTCAAAATACGTCTTCTTGTTAGAATTAATAAATGCTAAATGTAGAGGGAGCATAAGAAAGCTAAAGTTTATAAGAAGACCTTGTCTAAAACTGAGAAGACGCATCACCAGCAAAAAAAACCATAGCTTTTAACCAAAATAAATATAA